AAAAGCTCCAGATCCAGGGGATATGATCCCCTCTTCTGAATTCCATGGGCTTTGCAGGACATGGGTACACCTCCCTATGTGCAGGGAATACACTCATATACAGGAAATAAAAGTAATAAATAATTTTCTAAAAGTTTATGGTGATGAAGCAAATTTAAGCTTCATTATCTCACATAGTCAAATATATTTTATTTTTTAATATTTTATTTATTATTATTTTTATGTGTATGTGTGTCCCAAGTAGCCTGGTTCCCCCGAAGGGCAGGGTCTGCTTCAGATAATTGACTGCAGAGAGTTAGCCATGGAGGGAGGGGCTTTGGGGCACCATCTTGTAACAGAAGCAACAGAAGCAGCCACGTGAAATGTTGGCCCAGTTTCTAACCCACATGGATGTGAGAGGGGGCATTTATCAACCTGGGGTGAGACTGTGGGCCCACGATGTGTGGGTGAAAGTTAATGGAGACTGTGGGTGGGTGTACACCAGGGGTTCGAGCCAGTGACCCCCGCACAGTAATGATTGGGGATGAGTAAGCATGCCGTTCACCAGCCCACGTCGCCCCCAGTATTGGGAACACTCAGGGGCAACAGGGAGTCTAGTCAAGCAGGGACTCATTTATTGCAGGTGTTACAGAGCTTATAAAGGCACCTGGAAATCCCCCTCCCCCCGAAGGTGTATCTTAAGGGTGGTCACGTGCTGATCATGCACTCCTCAGCAGTGTGGAAGTACCCTTCAGACTTTTAAAACAAGTCAGGCCACACCCCAGTAACTTCCTCTCAGACTTCTGTAAGGCGGGGCCTTTAGGTCCCCAAAATATATTTTATTTTTTAATATTTTATTTATTATTATTTTTATGTGTATGTGTGTCCCAAGTAGCCTGGTTCCCCCGAAGGGCAGGGTCTGCTTCAGATAATTGACTGCAGAGAGTTAGCCATGGAGGGAGGGGCTTTGGGGCACCATCTTGTAACAGAAGCAACAGAAGCAGCCACGTGAAATGTTGGCCCAGTTTCTAACCCACATGGATGTGAGAGGGGGCATTTATCAACCTGGGGTGAGACTGTGGGCCCACGATGTGTGGGTGAAAGCTAATGGAGACTGTGGGTGGGTGTACACCAGGGGTTCGAGCCAGTGACCCCCAGCACAGTAATGATTGGGGATGAGTAAGAATGCCGTTCACCAGCCCATGTCGCCCCCAGTATTGGGAACACTCAGGGGCAACAGAGAGTCTAGTCAAGCAGGGACTCATTTATTGCAGGTGTTACAGAGCTTATAAAGGCACCTGGAAATCCCCCTCCCCCCGGAAGGTGTATCTTAAGGATGGTCACGTGCTGATCATGCACTCCTCAGCAGTGCAGAAGTAT